AGGACTCCTATTTATTGTCAGTTTCTCGTTCTCCTCACTATCCCTTGAGGAGAACAGGGAAAAGAACTGGTTTTTGCAGATCTGGGGGCTAAAGGATGTCCTGGGGAGAGGGGAGATTTCTCACTGACCATATTCCAACTAGGGCTATATACCGCAGGCAAAGGCATGAAGAACTATGGTGCCTTCTGGGAAGACACCCCTTTCCCCACCTCACCTTCTGTATCATTGATGTACCTACAGAAGTCCCTTCACTTCTGAGGTCTGTGCCACCTGCTCAGGCCATCTTTCCTCTCCTCTCATGGTGCTCTTCCACTTTCCTCAGTAGCTTTATTACCTTCTCCAGTCTCCCCACCTTCTGAGCCCCGTTCCCTGCCATCACTTTCTGGAACATTCCTGTGCATGATTCTGATCACCCTGATAAGGGAATGCTTTTTATCCTTGACTCAGTAACCACCATTTCTACACCACTGCGTACCAAGGCCAGGGCAGCATCTAATGCCTCTTGTCGTGCCCCCTAGCCAGAGACCACCAGGAGCACAGCCGTAGTTGGACAAGTTGGGTTTATTGCTCGGTGTGGTGATGGAGACCTCACAGCCTGAGGACCGGGGGGCAGCATGGTGTGACATGATGACAGAGGAAAGGATTTGCAGGACTTGGGTTTATGTTAGGTGACGTGGGGAAGGGTGTATAGAGGAGGGCCTTGCTCTGGATTAGGTGCTGTCAGTAAATGGCATAACTATGACTAGACATCTTACGTCTCATCTACAGAGAAGGTAGACTAGGGCAAAGTTAAAGCTGCAAGTGGAAAAGAAATAGCAGTCACCCCATTACCTGGGCTTTTTGGTATTTTCCAAGTTGGCCAGTGTTCATGCTTTGTCGGTGTTCAGATACAATTACTGAGTGTTTGTGTTTTTGTTTTGTTCCATCTTGGTCACAGAGTGGCCTTTTCTGATGCTGATTTTCCGTGAAATCATGGATGTTCCGCAGCCGCACACCCAGGCCCAGCTTGCAGCGTGAGGCCAGCTGCCGGGTACCAGGGCAGCTCTCTCTTTCTCGGTCTTCACCGCTTTGAGCTGCTCTGCATCAGATACGTATTTGCCGCCTTGGTTCCTCCTCCTGCTCCCTCCTCATCCACCCGTCTGCTCCCTGGCTCCCGGGGTCTGTCGTCAGCCCCTCCCTATTTCCCAATTTATCAGTTCCTTTCTTAGCCTCTTCCTTCCCCTAACCAGAAAGACATCGCGAGGTGATGAGCGCCCTCCTGGTGAGCTGACGGCTGCCCAGAATCCCTTCCCGGCCTCCCCAGTCACTACTTATTGTTTCCTTTGCCCACCCCTTCCCCTAGATGGGCTCCATTGTTCTCCATTCCCCCCTGGGGTTTCTGAGCACTTCGGCAGAAAGGCCTAAAACCAGAAGCATGTGTTTTGTACCCTCAGCAGTCCACAAAGTGCCTGGCAGTCCTTTTTCTCATAACTTCTTTACCCTCTGTGCGCCTCTGACCCCGTTTTTCCAATAATCCCATTAGGCCACCACCCTCACTGTGAAGGTCCATCAGAGGCTCTCAGTTCTCAGTGTACTAAGAAGGAAAAACCATCTCCTACGATCCACCTCAGCTTTCTTATTCTCTCGACTTGAATTTTTTCCAAATCTTCAACATCCTCTTTCTCACAGTCCTCTCAGAAAGGATGAAACCTCAGTCCTTTTGCCGCCTCACCCCTCCACTTGTGTTCCGATCCTGCCGCGACTCCCCGGTGCCCCGGGCACCTCCCTGCCCTCCCCAGCCACGCAGGCCCTCCAGCCTGAGTCCTTCCTTCAGGATGACAGCCCTGGGGCACCATCTCCCTATCTGTCCCCTTCCGCTCTGCTCACTCCCCGCTTAGCCCCGCCCTGCCCGCCACGGGTGGGGGGGGGGCCCGAGTGATCTTCTCCTCACTGCGTCTCAGACGGACCATCCCGGTGAACTTCACAGCGTCAGACTCGCTTTTCCTTTGAATCTCCTGAGAGGGTGTCCCCCAGGTCCTCCTGACGCCTCTTGATTTTGCTTTTTCATAGTCTGTCCCTGGGGTTCCTCCATGACCCTGATTCCCTCCCCTCTCCCCCAACTTTCTGTGTCTTTTCTTTATCCCCATTGTCATAGTTCCCTTTCTCTCCTGTTTCCTCGTAACAACCGCATCCACTCCCCAAACTCGAATAATTCACAGATTTGTCTCTGCCCTTGACCTTTGTCCGGGGGCCTAGTTCTTTATTTCTAACTGCCCGCTAAACGTCAACAGCATGATGTGTTGCCTTCTCAGTCCTGAGACACCAGCTGCCTGCAACTAGACTCATCACGCTCACCAGGCCCAGTATGTCTGTACGTTGTTGGCCCCTTTCATGGCATCCCATTCTCTGTGGCCATTGAATCCCACAGGTTACAGCTTTGCATTGTCTCTTGCTTTTGGCCTCCACATAGCATGCTTACCAGGTTAGCCGTACATCGTTAGGGAGCCTATTAACTTGTCATTTAAGGGCAGGGCACTTGTCTCACTCGTCTCTGCATGCCACTTGGTGACCAGCACGGTGCCTTACCAAAGGAGAGCCTCACTGTTTGTCGAATATCTGACTGTTAATTGAGTGTTTTAATGCTTTACTTGCCCTTCCTGAGCTATTTGTCATTGAACATATTTTTCATCGTTAGTTCTCTAACTACTTTTACCCTTAACCAAGCAAGCTCTAGAATAAAGTTTCACGCCCAGAGCCCCAACCATGGTATTTCCGCTCTTTTCCAGGAAGAGCGAGTGGGAAAGGACGCAGGTGTCAGGAGGCATTAATTCAACCCTTCTTCTTTAGCGCCAGCCATAATACAGAAGGTTATTACGTGTTATGGCAATTTTAGATAACTGACATCCCCCTTTATACATCGATTTTTCTGCTTTTTCTCTTCTTGATTTTGAACAGGTTTTCAAAATGGAAACTATGAGTAGGTCATTAGGTGCTGCTGATAGTACATCAGTAGGATTCAGCTCTTCCCCTGCCCAGCAGAGTGTGGCGGCCCTGAGCGCAGCCCTGTAATACATATTAGTTACACAGGCGCCGGCAAAGCCCTGCCCGGCTGCGCGTGTGTGCACGGCCCGGGGAAGTTAATAATGCCATACATCACGTGCACAGAGAATGGCAAATGTGCTTGGGAATGACGGTGGGCCCCTGTAAAACGAGTGCTGGCTGACAGGAAGAGGCGGGCCAGGGAACGATTTCTGTCCTTTCAGATCTACTGCTCACTGAATCATTGTTTCTGTAAGTCTCAGGATCCCGCACCCACATTCTATGCTTTTATTTGTTTGTTTGTTTGTTTGTTTGTTTATTGGTCAGTATGTGCCCCTCTCTCTAGCCGCCTTATTTCACATGGATAACAAAAGAACCCTTTTGAAGAAATGAAAGATAGCAATTACCCATTGGTATTCACGTTACAGAGTCACACCGCGGTCCTTGGGGAGTTTAACAATGACTATCCAACATTAATTGCCACAGTAACTGCATGTCTGACCTTGCTCAGATGGAACACATCAGCTTTACAGCGCAAAATGATCTGCCACTAAAAGAGTTTAAAAATTATCATAAAATTATACAGCTGTTTAGAATGGCCAATATTTTTGTTTTTGAAGAATATCCTAGAGGATTCAAATGAGGTTGCTACATTTTCTTAGGACTCAGGACCCTGGGCATTGAGATCATAATTGGATCACTGATATGGTTGGCAATTATAATGAGTGTCTTTTTTTTTAATGAAGGGTGAATAAAATACATTAACACCCCAATAGATCTGTGGAACTGATTGATAATAAGGCATAATGGACCTAGTACCTTTCATCATTTGTGGGGGGGGGATATTCCTTATGTTTGTAGTTAATTATAGGGTGGCATTTTCTGCCAGTAGCAGAAACATACTAGGAACCTAGGACATGTTTCCCTGTGTAAAGAAGTGACATCATTTTTAAGGTGAAGCCTACTAACTATCAACTTATCTTGCTTTAATCTTTTGCTCAAATCCTCAGAAAGCTAGGTTTTCTTACATGCATTTTTAAGCTCCTCCTCACCCCACCCCACCCACGCCCTCCCCAGCTATCTTACACTTAACTGGGTGTCGTGCGCGCATCAGGAGAACTTCACCCAACCCGGGGAGAGTTCAGCACTTGGGGTCGGGTTGCACATTGCGGGATCAGCAGTGAGCCCGTCGCCGACAGCCGTGTCCGCGGGCCACTCTGGCTCTGGGCTGTGGGAGCTGTGTGTGCAGAAATGAATGATTGTTCAGCCTCCTCCCTTTTGCAAAGGGGCTGAAGGTAAAGAAAGTCAGTGCACTGACCCACGACATCCTAGATGAGATTCTTACTAAAGATCCATTTTTGCTTGTATTCTGGCAAAACCAGTCCGCGCATGACACATTGGAAGGCCACCTCAAGTCCGGGAGGAAAAAAAAATGAACTGAATGACAGAGTAGGTAGTTTTTGGCTCACCTTTTAAAGCAAGGCTGTGACGTGAACACATATGATACTTACCTGCCACGACTACTTAATGGGGCTTATTCTTTGTTTTAGTGCTTAAATGATGTTGTAAGTACCTTTCCCCTTTTAAAAGAGTGATTGTTTAGTAAGCCTTAACCAGGTAAAAGGGAATACACAAGCAGTTAGTGTGGTGCAGTTTTTGAAACTTTGAACTTTGGAGTCCTTAATTCTTATCATTCAGGTGGCTTTAAATATGAACACTCTGAATCCTCTCCCCACTTCATTTATTTATTTTTCTATTTGCTTTAAAGTATTTATGCCTCCCTCACGCTTTCAGTGGCCATAGAAGTTGAGCCCGGGCACTGTCCAAGAGGGAGATTCTTGACCAGACTCCTAATTTATTCTGAATCTTTAAAGAAATTATGGTGCAAAGCAACTCAAGAAAATGCAGCTTTACTTTTAGTTCTTTTCTTTTCCTTTTTAATTTTCTCTCTCCCGTTTTCCTTCTCCCACCCCTCATTAAAGCAGGATGACGAAGTGACGACCGTTAGAGAGCAAGAGCAGAACGTCCTGGTGCTGAAGAAAGTGCAGCGCTGCGGCCCAGCCCCCCTGGGCGGGAGCGCCGACAGTGATTGGAGGTGAGTTCCCACCGAGGCACGCGCTCCTGTTTCCTTTCCCCTGCCTGCCTGCCTGCCTGCCTGCCCTTCCCTGCTCCCTCTCACCGGCTCTCTCGCTCGCTCTGCCTCCTTTTCCCTCCCCCTCCCTTTTCTCTCCGCCTCTCCGGCGTTCTAGCTGACTGCAGAGCCCTTAGCAGCCAGATGGACTCAGCTCTCAGTGAAAAGACCGAGATGGCCAAGATCTTGTAGCATTTAGGGGATGCCTTTGTTAGTAGCCCGGCACAATGGGCAGCTCGCGGCTGAGGGTCTTTGACCCTCATTTAGAGAGGAAGGATTCCGCAGCGCTCTCAGACCGAGAGCTGCCCTTGCCTACCTTCGATGTGCCTTATTTCAAATACATTGACGAGGAGGATGAGGACGATGAATGGAGCAGCCGCTCACAGTCTTCCACCGAGGATGATTCAGTGGACTCTCTGCTCTCTGACAGATACGTGGTCGTGTCCGGGACCCCAGAGAAGATCTTGGAGCACCTTTTGAATGACTTGCACCTGGAAGAAGTCCAGGACAAAGAAACAGGTAAGACTGGGGTGTCTCCTGTTTCCAGACTCAGTGGTGGCTGCCCTTGTCAGTGTCCTTAGGGGCAAGGCTTCCGTGGTGCTGACCCCGGGCGGCTGATGCAGCCTGTGCTCCGCACCCCTCCCCTGTGGCCCTGGGCTGTTTTGTTTAAATCTGGTAAATGGACACATGTAGGTCCAAGCAGCTGCCTGGGAAGTAGCTGTACAAAGAAAAATGATACGAAGGCAGATGTTCTTGTTCCTTTGGCAGTTTTTACCAGATCGTACCTAAAGGCATTTGGCAAGAGGCCAGCATTCAATAGCCAGTGGCCAGTAATGGGAAGAAGTGCCAGGCAGCGAGCAGGCACTCACCTGGCCTGTGCCCATGCCTGTGCGGGGCACCGAACGGGTGGGAGTAGCCTTCCGCAGAAATGCCAACAATTAATACAAGCGCTCCGCAACTATAGGCTTAGCAACTTCTGCCTTTTTCCAAGTGGTTTACAGACTGCTCAGAGCACGCCCTGCTGTGCAGAACATGATATGCATAGTTTCTCAGACCAGAAATTATAGTTCACTGGAGTCTTATTGATGAGACTTCTTGTCCTTTCTGTCGAATCTGGGAGTAAAATACCTGTTCTGCTTTTTCACCCTTGCACTTTGGTAACACTGCTATTGCATTTACAGAATCACCTACCTACACTTTCTTTTTTCACAGAACGGTGAGTACTTGCTTCTCTTAACCAGAATTTCTAATTTGTTCCAGCCTGGAGCAATTATTCCAATGAATAGGCCTCTGGCTGTAGCCTGACTTCTGTAACTTTCAACCCTGACTAAAATGCACTTTTTGCTGCCACCAGGGCACCTGTGATGCCCAGAGTTTGCAACAGTATATCGACTGCATCAAGAAAAGACATTTTTCAGTTTTATTAGTACAAAGTAACTCCTTGGGTTTTTTTCATGCCGGAATGATTGTGAAGTGACAGCTTAGGTGAGAGCAAGAATTTCCTTGGGTCCCAGAAGGTTTGTCTGAACCTAATTGACATCTGGCTCTATATCGCATTATAAAGAGAAACAAAGATGTGTGAAAGAAATAGGTGGGGAAGGGGAAAAAAGCAAAATGACCCAATCAGGTATCCTACAGCAACATTATGTTTGATCTTACAATTCAAATAAATACTTTATTTTGCATATGTATGTTTGGGGGGAAACCAATAGTTGTCATTTGTACACAAACCAGCTAAAAGAAAAATGTGTTCTCGCGTCACTTGCTGGGTTGGTTTTATACGCCCATCAGTTAGTAGTTTGCGTATTGGCACAGTGTTCCTGTGCTCTGCTTCATCAGAGATAATCCTCATGGAACTGGCCATAATATTCTGTGCACTGATCGCCAGACTGCTTTGCACAGGTGGTTTGGACTAGAATACTGGCAAATTACCTGCCATGAAGAGGACACCTTTAAACATGGGTAGAGGGTTTAGGGGAATGAATGCTTTCTTCTTAATAGCACCTATTATTTAACACAAGACTTTGTGTCTAGGTCATACTGATCAGAGTAGAGATTATTAAGGCCAATACTAGGCCTAACTCTATTTTTTTCTTTGTTTCTCATTGTCATTACTTTCTTGCGAAAGATGGCCTAGCGGCCCACTAACAGGTTCCCACTAGTGGACACTCGGAATGAGCGGTCACCCTGACTGCTGTTGCTGGTGCCAGGAGTTGCCTCCTGTTGAGAAATGGTGTTGTGCATGGTGTCTCGTGATTGTTATTCCACTTTCCTATCAATTATACCAACACTGGGATCAAATATGTCACTCTAGCCATGTGCTCAGCAGAGCAGAGAGGACTAGGATGCAGTGGGTTGACCAAAGCAGGACAGGAAGGCACTCGCTGGGGTCGGCCTGTCCTCATTCCCACTCATTTTCTTAAGAGTTTGAGGAGGACACACTTCAGATTGTGGCACAGACACTCGAGGGGAAAAACGGGAACAACTTTTCCTCCAATCAATGGGGAATTTTATGGAAGTTAAAACGCCCGCTTTCGATTGATGTGTGTGTAATGGGGACGTCTTAGAGGGAGTCACAGGCAGCCCTTCGCAACGTCACACGCCGTGCTGGGGCGAGATTCAGCAGAAAAGCCGCCATGCGGTTCTGTTGATGAAATTAAAAGAAATATCATGACTATGAAATAAAATACATTTTGTGTACAATTTGAAGAGAACTGGTTATGAGTTTGTTGTAGTTTGAACACTCAAGGAATCACATATTTAAAGTAAATGGAGGCTCCTCGTCACTGACAGAGAGGAAGTCTAGTTCTTTATCTTGGTCAGGCCCACAGTCCTCATTATAAAAGGCCTCTGTGTGCAAGAGCCTAATAAGAGTCGCATAAACATATGGAGGACAGATGGAGGAAAACAAGAAGGGGCTGCAATAAAAGTATACAGCCGCGTTTTTATGTTCTTGAGCACCCCTCTTAGGGAGATGGAGCCATATGGGGCTGGGCGGATCCATATGGTGGTCGTCCACGTGGCCCCGATGGCAATGAGGAGGAAAGGGGAACATGGGAGGAAATAAATGGTCCCGGTGGCTGGGATGAACCTGTTCTGCATTCTGACATTCCTACACCCACCCATGCCCCCCACACCCACCCACCCTGCCCCGCAGGCTGTGGGAAATAGCCAAGCAAGAGAGGCAAATTATTTCCCATCTCTTCTCCCCAAAAGTCACTTAGCGGTGAAAGGCCAAGTAGAAAGGAGAAACCTTCTATGTCACAAAGGACAAATTGAAGTGATTACTAATTGATGTTGACTTAATTAAATGGAAAGAAGAGAGAATGTCGGAGCAGCGTGTTTCTGTTGCTACCTGAATTGATATGGTACCCTACCACCAAATCAAACTGAGTTTTAAAAGCAAAAGTGACATCAGTGATGCTTAAAAGCAATCTACCAACGGTTTTCCTGAATGATTAGAGCCACACGACACATTGAATATGCTGGTTTTTATAATCCCCTATGTGCATACCTTTCTTTCCCCCCTGGTAGTACCAGGCACAAGGAGTCATCCAGCCAATGTCTGTGGAATAAATCAATGAATGAATGACCCTTAATTGTCTAAAATGGAACAAGTATTTGAGTCTGGTAACTGGACATCTATTTGCACACAGGGAAAGTGATTGGAGCCGTTTTTAAAGATTTCCTTTTCTTTCAAGGTTCAGATTCTAACTTGAAACATTTGGAATGTTAGAGAAAAGTCAAGCAGCTGTATCTTTCATCTCCCCAGAAATAGGGCAGACATCCCTGAGCATTCACAGCCCAGGAGAATTACAAGGAAGGCAAGAAGGAAGAAAAACAAGGGGTCTGAGTAGAGGGGATAGAGGAACGAGTCTGCAGCCAGCCCTGCACTGCCAGGTCTGCCGAGGTCCCTGCCCCAACATAGGCCCTCCCCACCCTGGAGAGGATAAAGTGTGTTTTATTAGAGATGCTTCTGGGAATTTCTGTTTCAGAGCAGGAGAGAACTATGTATCGGATGGCTTCTATAAAGAAAAACCTTCTTATTGATTTTTCCTTCTAAATCTGCATTATGATGGGTTGACCTTAGGGAACACAAAAGGTATAGAATGCATAATGCAAGAGGAAATGCATTATATGTGCCCCTCTTTTTATTTCCTATTCTTTATTCTTCCTTTAATTTTTTAATTTTTATTGACTTGGGAGAGAGAAGCATCAATTTGTTGTTCTGCTTGTGTATGCATTCATTGGTTGCTTCTTGTATGTACCCTGACTGGGGGTCAAACCCACAACCTTGGCCTCTCGGGTTGACACTCTAACCCACTGGACTACCCATCTAGGGCTCTTAATTCATCTTTTTAATGAAAGTGACTATGATTACAGGTATCCAAGAAAAATAAGCAAACAGAAAGTAGGATAGGGGAACTAGGGAAAGCCTACCAGCTGATTCTTTATTAGGCTTGACCTGATTTCTGCAAGGTGTGGGTGATTTTTTTTTTTTTTTTTTTTTTTTTTACTCCATGGGGTTATCATTTAGAATATTGTATTACTATGTGCTAAGCGTGGAACTGTCTACTCAGCCTGCTTCGATCATGTCATGGATGTTTATCACCTAGTAGGTGGAGCACCTCGTTGTAACAAGACAACAACCTTGATCAATAGAGTCCAAAAGTTATTCTCCGTCGCCAGCTTAATGGCTTTTTCAGAGCATAATCGCACTGACAGAACCTTGAGTAAAGCTAGGACAGGCACTTCACTTTCTAGTTACTTTAAAAACAAAAAAAATCTTCTTTCCTGCCAGCACCAAGCCTGTTGTAAGCACTTGATACATATTTCTTGTGAAGAAAGATTCAGAATGCTTCCTCCTGATCATTGGAAAGATAGAATACAACTTGGGCGAACTTCTTTCTTGACTTCCTTGCCCCTGAGGCTTTCTAGGAAGCTGTCCGGTGCCTCCGTCCCAGGCTTCCTTGTGCAGGCGGCAAGACTTGAATGAGCCTGTCCGGCCTGGCCTTGGCAGGGCTACAGCTTTGGGGCAGGAGGCACAGAAGTTTTCAGACAGTGGTAAGTCTCTCCCTGATTTTGTGCAATTAATATATACATAAAATGACCTTTAAATTAATAGACATGTAAATTTTATCTTTTCCTTTTTGTACTGTCATGTAACAAATAGGTTGGTGGATCTTATCCGTGGCTGCACATTAGCAGCCCGTGGGGCACCTTTAAAAACTACCAATGCTGGGCTCCGCCCCATAGATTCTGATGCAGTGGAGACCTAAGCATTATGGGCTTAAAAACTCCGCCAGTGATGCTAACACTCAGCCAGGTGAGAGAGCCACTGAAACGGAACTTGCACTGTGTCTCACTTTCCCCTTTTTCTGCTCTAAGGGTATGTTCCAAGTTGCCAATAGTTATAAATATGTGGTTGCCTCTGAGAGCTAGCATCTCCATTCCCCCTGTCCTTCACTGCCCCTCCCCAGTCCCTTTCCAGGGCTCTAGGTCCAGCCTCATGTCCCCTG